TAAATAGGTTTTAAATTATTTATTTGCTGCAACATGAATAAGATAATAAGATAAATAGAGATCTTAGTCTTACAAGCAATAATGTTAGAACAAATCCAAATATTGCATTGTTTCTACTCTTGTTTCTAATTTGTTTTCATTTACTTATTTAATTTTAAACTTCTTCATCTCTTAATCTCTTATAATTCTGTATTTGTTTTAAAAAATATATTGATTATTCTTTCAATGATGGGTAAAATTTTATTTTTTAAAATAATTAATATTGTTAAATATTTAAACATCAATGAATATAATAATATTCAATAAAAATATTATATTTTTAGAATCTATTTTTTTATAACAATGATTATATATATAGTTAAATATTAAAATCTATTAAAGAAGTTATTGCATATATACAAAAGTATCAGCTTAAAAGAATCCTTCTAAGTGCTTTTAGAAAATTCGAAATTTCTTTTTAAATTTTTTGGTTGAAATAATCTTCCAGTTAAATTTGTGTGTTTTTTTTTTTTTAATTCTTTTCATCAAAAATAAGGAAATGATATGTTAATAAACTATCTGAAATCATCTAGAAACAGTAATCATTTTCTTACTTATATTCTTTATAACCATTATTATTATAAAGATAATTTATCAATTTATATCTTATATCAATTTTATATTTTAGATTGTCCAAAACTTCAATATTTTTCTTTTTTATTTCATTTTTATTATTTATTTATATTTATTTTAAGTTTCTAAAAATACTCATAAAATTTATAATATTATCATATATAAGATATTTAATTATTCTTAAATAATATTTAATAAATATTCATCAAATTTTATATTAAAAATTTAAGGAAAAAATATTAAAAAAAAATAATGTGTGTTGTATAAATTTTTTTATAATTTTGTGGTTTTTATTAATTTTACTCATTTAAATTTTATTGATTATTTTTTACTATTTTATAATATTAATTTCGAATTTATCAAAACCTGCTTTTTAGTTTGAATTTTACGCTATAATAGTTATATATATGTATACATAATGTAATAACTAAATTTACATGTTTTTAATATTGAATACATCATCACTATTATATACTAATTAAACGTGCTAATATTAGTTATTACAAAAGAAAAAGTAACATAATGATTTTTTTGAATACAATATAAAATATTTTATCAATATCTTGTTGATCAAAAAGTAATAACCTTATGTGCTCACAGCACAATAATCTCACACCACTAAGATGTATTACTCAAACACATTTTACACAACCAAATTTTTATTTGAAAAGCAATTGGTTATTCAATAGTAATACCTTCTTAAATTATCTCTCTATTTTCATTTTTTTATTTTTTTATTTTTCCTTCTTTTTTAGGCTTTCTCTTGTGTTGTGTCCATGGTTGGTGTAGAACAAATACCAATGACTACGTCATGCAATGGCCATAGCCATAGCCACAAAGGTTTAATGATATTATAGTTGTGGTACTATGCTCTCATTCATGGTACTACTACTATTATGTCTACCCACTCCTTTTTCATATCTTTTAAATAAATAATAAAATAAAATTAGGGTTTTGGTGTATTGGGGAAATGGCTTGTTCAACATGTATTCATTCCATCCATTCCCCATTCTCACCTCCATTTTCACCTCAATTAATCAAACTAAGAAGAGTGATGGTGTGCCCTTTAGCGGTCAGTGTGAACAGGGGTTTACACGGTCTCCCTTTCTCTCCTTGTACAGACTTTGTCCTGCATCTTCCAATGAACGTAATCATCCACCATTTCATCCATGATGTCATCCAAAGTTTGGTCAACTTTGAATTCCATAGAACAAATGAATAACAAGTGATCTTGGGCAAATATATATACGCATGAAAATAATTAAGTTAGTTTTTCAGAATTCAAATTAATGTTTCTATATTTTTATTTTTTATTTTTTCATATACTACTATCTAGATACTTTTAAAATTTTAAAAGTTTCCAAGTGCAAAATTATGTTCATTTCATAAATCATTTAAAAAAATTCATAAAAAAAAAAAAAATGATATTTTGAATGTTTTGTCAATATGGTAGTCTTTGAATGAATCAACTATAATAATATTTTTTAAAATTTCAACAATAAATTTTAGAATTGAATTATACACATGTTTTTAACTTTTTATTTAAAAATATATGGGGATATTAATTAATAATAAAAAATAGAAATAGATATAAGTTTATTATTTTTATAGATGATTAAGTCTAATAATAATATTAGAGCTTTAAAAATAAATCTTTGGATAATGATGTGTATAGAATAGTAATAATTATAATTATTATTTTGATAATAAATTGGATAAAATATTTTTACATATATGTGTATATACACATATAATTATATTTACATTGAACTAAATTATAAATTTTATAAATTAAACAAAAGAGATGTAATAATAAATTTATGTTAATTAACTATAGTTAGAGGTTTTTAAATAATTAAGTTATATTATACAAATTTTTAATATATATATATATATATATATATATATATATATATTAAAGATTTTAATTTGAGTGTACTAACTTTATACTTTAAAACATGCTATTCAATGATGTTTAATATGTTTTTGGAATTGAATGTCAAAATTATTTATTAATAAATTATTTATATTTTTATTTGAAGAGTATGTTTTGCATGTAATCAAATGATCATAGTGTACAAAATTTTCAAAGTAATCTATGTTTTGTTTTTTTTTTTTTTTTTTTTTTTTTATATATATATATATATTATTCCTAAAGTAAAAATTTGGTAATTCACATGCAAAATTTATTTAAATTATTTTCTATTTAAGTTTCATTTTTTTTTATTTCATTTTATTTCTTTATAATTAAAACAATGATTTTTAGAAAACTGGTTTAGTAAATTCCTAGATCTAGACTTAGACTAAAGAGCACTCAACTATGACACAATTACCATATGCATGTATGCATGCATATATAAACACACAAAGCAATATATGTTATGATTTTTTCAAATATAAAAAGACAAATTTTAAAACATTGTTTTTAACAATTTTCATTTCATTAGTTATTATCATGATTGCAAAAGCCTTCAAGAGATGGCAACTTGCATCTAAGAAATAAAATCTTAGCTTTCAAGATAACAAAGGTTGGTAACCAATTCAAAATTTTCCAGTATATATATATATATATATATTGAAAATGAATATACACAACAACATGAAATTGACTTTGCAAAATTTTCATGGCTTCTGTACTACTGCAGCAAAGCCTGAGCAGCTCAATAGCCAACACTGAAGCTTAATCTCCAATACTACAATCAGAACTTGTAAGCTATCTTTGTCGAATGATTTCATATTCACAAACAAATCCTGAAGACAAGACCATGAAAAGAAAGAAAGGGGAGGTGCAGTAGCAAGTCTTCATTTGATGAACAATGCTGCATGTACAGAAGAAGGTACATGATCATGGAAAGTGATTATATATATATATATATATATATATACACACACACATTTGATTTCAAATTTTATTTTGTTTTATTTATTATTTTACAGTTGTGTTTTGTTAGGTTTGGTATTTATTGTATAGAGTTGTGGGTGTGGGTATGGGTGTGCCCAGTCACAGAGGTGGTACTCCCAGCGATGGATTACAATAGAACCCAGTCCTAGAAAAGCAGGCAGGCAATGGAGTGCAATGGGGGGTAGATTGTGCAGCTCCAACATTACTAGTCTCCTTTGGAGACTTTAGCTTCCCAAGCACCAATCTATCTATCTATTCATCTATCTCACAGGAATAGGAGTGTGGCTGCACTCTGTTTGCAGTACCCTTTGAGCTACTCTCATAAACACACACAACAAACAAAAATAAACAGAACACACTTGCTTGCTTACTTACTCTCACACTCACATACATGCATGCATGCAGGCAGGTAGGCAGGCATGTTAAAATAAAAATAAAGGGAGGAAGAAGGAGAAGATGAAAGAATACGAAAGTGAGGTTGAAATGGTCCAATGCATGCACACAGCGTGCCACAGAAGCCAAGCCAAGCCCACCAGGGACCAGGAAGGAGGACCCAGTTCAGCAATAAAAATAAAAATAAAAAACAACAACAACAATACACACTCACACACACTAAGTCATAGCAGAAAGAAGAAGAAGCATAATAATAAGAGGAAGGAGAAAGGGGGGAATCAAGTGGAGTGTTCCTCGCCGCCTGGCTGTCCGAACCGAGCATCCGACTCGCAGGAAAATATTCCAGGAAAAGAGACGGAACACGATCAGGGACAGTCACTAATCGCGGCACGATCCCCTGAGCAGCAGCCTCCCCCCTTGCTTGCTTCCCTCCCTCCCTCCCTCAAGGAAAGGAAAAGAAGAAAGGAAAGGGTGGAAGGTAGGATGGTAGTGTGCTAGCAGCAGGAGAAGGGGATGGATGATGCGACGGAGGAGGACATGATATGAGTGGGTAATAATAATATCAGGCAGGCAAGCAAGCAAGCGAGGGAATGCGAGGGACTGCGAGCGAGGGAGAGAGCGAAAGCGAGAGGGGGAGTGCGATGGGTGGCATGCGTCGCAATCAGACCCGGATCTGGAGAAAGTGCCAGGCAGCGCAAAGCAGGTAGCTTCCTTCCTTCGCATGCGGATGTCGGAACCAGGCCAGCCAGTCAGCTTGGGAATGCAGCTAAGCTAAGCCAGGCCAAACCTGGGTGCGGCACTACTAGTCGTAGTAGGTCATAGTAGTAGTAGTAGTCGTAGTAGTAGTACAGATCCTGATCCTGATGCGACGCTACACGCCAAGGACCACACCCCCACCCTCCCCGATTGATGGCTTGTCTCCATGGCGGTGATGGGTGCGGCCTCTTGTCTTGTAGTAATAGTACTAGTAGTAGTAGTAATAGTTGTTGTTGTAGTAGTAGAGCGTAGACGTGATCGTATCGCGCGGTGAAGAGAGGGGGGCAGAGGAGATTAAACGTGGAGCAAGCGAGGGAGGGGGGGGGGGCCAGCCAGGTGAGTTGAGTTGGATAATGGTGCGTTACGTAGTGGGCGTGGGAGGATGGGCAGGGCGGCACGCTGCACATCCTTAACCCTCGAAACTGTCACAATTCGCGCCCGATCAGCGTCGTGCTCTTCTTGTCTTGCCACTGCCCCTGCTGCTGCTGCTCCTGCTGCGGCCTCGCTCGCGCACAGGCGGCGGACTTGGGTATGGCTGCTACTGCTGCTGCAGGGAAGCTGAACTGACGCCCTTTTTTCTGGCCGTGCTTTGCCTTGGCTTCTCTCGGCTGTTTTCTCAGCTTGTCCTCTAGTCTCCTCTCTCTCGCTGGTCTCCGAAGACTTAGTACAACGCTAGCTTCGCAAGCTGTTGAGACCGGCGCTCTCTTGCGATGGGTTTAATAGTACAAGGAGTGTGTTTCTGTGATCGTCGCTTTTCTCGATCCTCATAATTGAGTTGTTGGTGCGATCTTCGGTTTCAGCGACGAGTTCTTCAACGGTTTAGTGGAGCGGGTGCTTCTTCGCAGAGAGTGCAGACTGTGAGAGGCAGTTTGGGTGGCTAGTAGCGGCGCGCTGCTCATCGTAGAACATGATTTCGTGGGATCTTCTTGAGGAGTGAAGGACCTGGATGGAGGCGCAGTCAGCCGGATCAGGTGCTCCTCGTGGGGATAATAGAGCTGTGGCAAGGGCTCTTTAGAGTGGAAAGCATGTGTTCTAATGGAGAGTAGTGGTGAACTCCCGTTCTTCCCGGGTGTGGCTAGAATGAGCACCACCTAAGTGTCTTGGGAGGTCCTTCTTCAAGGCTCGCTTTCGCATTTTCTGAATCTTTAACGAGGACGGGAGCGTCCAGAAGTAGTGCATGAGCGGTAGTGACCAAAGAAACTGGTCTTTGGATTATCTCAGTTGTCGAGTGCAAAGTGAGCGCGGCTGATCCGTCCCGGTCTACCATGCGGTACTAAGTTCCGGGGCTAGGAGCTAGGGATGCTCGCAGGATTTCAGATTATGCCTATCAGATGGAGCTATTCTCATGACACTTCTGCTGCTGACAGATTTTCGACAAGTTTAGTTCTTACTGTGCAAGCCATGAAAACGAGGTAATTCTTCTTAAACCATAAGCTGTATTCCATTCTGTTGAATTAGAGCAAACTTGTTCATCTGTAAAGAGAGTTGATGTTTCCAGCATCTCCCGGAACGAGGATGCAGTAGACTATGAGGAACCCGACGTAGATCTGTCTTGTAGTATTAATAATCCAGGTAGGTTGCTCGGAGCTTTAAATACAACGACTTCGGTCGGGTTACTGTTCCACTTATACGTCCTCCTATAACTTAACAGTCATGTATCCCGTGTGTCGGTAATTGTGTGGTTCCAAATCTTGACACTTACGAGTTATTTCAACGGTATTCATTAACTCCTCATCGAATTTGACATAAACTCTTGAAACAAATCTGTCACATAGGACGCCAATTGTCTGGTTTGTTTTCTTTAGACATGCAATTTTCTCAATTGGATTACAAGCTACTCTTTCATAGCCGCCATTCTTCACGCTGCGGAGCAATGAAAATGATCGTCTCAGTGCGCTGCGGTTTGAAGTATTGTTTCAACACACATGACTCGTTTTTACAAGTAACATGACGTTATCCCATAACATGTCTCATAGTTCTTCCTGTAGTGGTCACTTCTGTCTCCAGAATTTGACAGTCCTGTGAATGTCCTTTAAAATGTCTAGTTAACTGTTGCTGCTTTGTAGTTCCTTAACGTCAGTTGCGACAATCTAACTCTCTCGGAGTGAGATGATTTTTGTGTAGCTCGTAGAGCATCGTTCGATAACAATGACACTAGAGGACGAAGGGGGAGGAACCAGCGGCTGTGGTGGAAGCTGACAATATCATGTAGTCTGTCGAGGAATTAAGTGCTTACAATGGGACTTTTCCAGTGGGCCGATAAAGAGAAAGTGAAGACGTGAAGAAAGGGAGGAATTGAGGTTATCCTGGGGGGATTGGGATTATCTCTTGGCTGTGGAAGAGTGGGACAGTGGCAGATAGGGAGAACAGCAATACATTTCTCAAGCAGTAGATTAGGAAGTGATTTCTCCATGAGGTAAAGCATCAATGCAGGGTTCAATGACACACAAAGACATCAGTGGAATGTTTACAAATGCTGCCCCATCACCGTCTGGCCCGGTATTGTACCCACTCTTATCTTTAAACTTGATTTTTCAGCTACTTTAATTGATCTCTCTCTAGTGGTAGGAGCTGAAAATTTCTTCGAAAGAATAAACGTACAGAATAAAAAGAGTTAGATATCCAAGGTTCTTCATCTAATACTCACATTTCGTGTGTTGGAATTAGTGGAGTCTTGATTAATGAATTGGGAGTTGTTGATAATGAAGTGCCATGGCTGGGCCCGGGTTTGCAGTTGTCACCTAGAGCCGGCTCGGCATTAAGTCCGGGTGGGCCTTACACGGTAGATATCAGGATGCAACTATCGGTGAGCGATACCAAGTTCTCCGGAAGCAGCACCAATGTCGACGTACTAGCAACTCTTGGCGGCAGCTCCGAGGCCACAGCTTTGAATAAATCCCAAAGCGTGGGAAGCTCTCTTCAGAACCAAAACCTCAGTCAGTTACTCCGTTCAGCACCAGGGTATGGCGCCTCCTCTGCCGACCAGCAGCATGGTGCAACATCCAACTTTACCAAGTCGGTCGGAATGGAGTCGGAGACGCTGGCCATGCTGCAGCGACAGCAGCATGCTGCAACATCCAACTTTCCGAAGTTGGTCGAAATGGAGTCGAAGACGCTGGATATGCTGCAGCGGCAGCAGCAACAACAGCAAGCATCAATTCATCAGCATCAAGAGTATGAGCATCAGGGGAACAACTCAGTTGAGGGGTTAATCTACGACATTTCTGCCGAGACGTCGTCTGGTTGTAGAAGAAGGCGGATACGGGATTGGAGCAGTGACTTTCAGGAGAGGTGCTCGCAAGTCAATTTGGAGGATTGGGCATCTCCACGTAGTACTGATGGAGAGGAGCACATCAGTCTGCATATGCACGACCAATGGAACACTACGAAAAATCATGAGCTCGCCACTGCACTTCAAGATTGTGCTCCTACCACCATCAGAAGCAAAAAGGCCAAGGTCCTGAAGCTACAGCACCACCCGCGGGAGGATCCAAGATGTATAGTGATGTCTTCACCGGTTAGTGCATCTCAAGATAAGTGTAGGACCAACAGCGGTACCACGTGGGAAATTCACCTGCAACAGTGGAACGGCATGCAAAGATCATCGAAACTAGGGGCCGTTGCAACCGGGAAGCATGCAGAAGCCGGGAGCGCGAGTCCTGAGGGACACGGATCAATCTCATTGGGTGCTCCACACGTACTTGTGGATCTCGACGATGAAAAGAAACTTACAGAAATCCACTCAGAAGAAGCTAGAATAAAATCATCTGTGTCCATGACAAGGAGCTCGGAGGACAATATGAAGAGCTTACAAGAAACTCACAGGAATATTGACCTCCATCATCCAAATCCTTGCAGAGTTGCTGGCGCTGGGATAAGCTTTGAGATGGGCTCCAATACTTTCTTATCGAATGGAATGACAAAATCATACGAGACTCGGGAGTTGCCAAATCAGCTCTGCTCTGGCAATGGTTACGTCGGTGGGTCCGCTTTCACTGGGATGGAAGCATGGCCGCAAGGAGGAGGAGGCGCAAACGACTATTTATTGCACACGAGCGCTGCACACATAGCTCATCTGCTCGACTTTCAAATACAAGAGAACCAACGGCATCTGAAACAGGGCATTCTGAACTACCTTCCTGACGACTACATGAGTGGATCAAGGCTCGCAGACACGGTCGACTATGAGACAGGGCTACGGACGGGTTCATCTGGTGTTAACCTGCAGAAGAATGGGTCATCGCTCTGCTACAGTGACTTGAGCATGTTACCAGGACAGGAATTTGCCGCAGCTAATGATACCCTCCTGGATTCTCGATGTAGTTCTGATGAGCATCTTGAAGCTAGAGCTGCGTACGAGATGGCTCGAACTGAGCAACATCAAGCTGGTCTTCTCAGCAAGAGCGGCTTCAAGCGTTCATCTAAAGGAGGTCCTCGTCGGCCAAACATCATCAAAGGGCAATGGAGTCCCGAAGAAGATAGGTATGTTGAGTTCGTTATGTGAGTAACTCCACCAGAATCTTACTAAAAATTGAAGGTGATTATGTGAAGGCTTTGTTATGACTTCTAAACCTTAAAGCGGTTGGGTTACAAGTAATTAGTTTGGTTCTAAAACTAGTTCACAGCACCTATGATGAATGAAATCGATTTGTAACTGCACCTAGTAGGTACTTGGTGGGCCTGGTGGAAATGCATGGACAACAGCGCTGGTCGCTTATTGCCACACAGTTGCCGGGCCGTATTGGAAAGCAGTGTCGAGAGCGCTGGCACAATCATCTCCGACCTGACATTAAGGTAATCACTCATCCCTGCGCATCAAAATTATCCCTCAGCTTCCTAATTTGATTTAGCATCTAGTGCTTCGCTGCTAAGAAGCTGACATGCCTTTAAAAATTGTAATTCTTTGAAATTGAAAATCAGTGAGAACTCGACTGACTTCAGCGTTTCCAGTTGTAAAGGACGTTGATTTGGTTGTTCGATGGCTGTTGCAGCGAGACGGATGGAACACGGAGGAAGAGGAAGCTCTAGTGTCAGCTCACAACAAACTCGGTAACCGTTGGGCAGACATCGCCAAGATGATTCCTGGTCGCACAGAGAATGCCATCAAAAATCACTGGAACGCCACCATGCGACGGAAAGACATGCGACGCAAGCACAGGAGGGTAACGGACGGATCCTCTGACAGTTTAGAAGTTGTTCCGCGCTGCACAATTCTGCGCGATTACCAGCAAAAAGTGGTTGCTCAGCGAGGTGGGCGAAAGGGCAAGGTGCTCAAGTCTCTCGCCACTATCGACAATGAAAGCCGCTTCAACGAAGGCAACCGCAATGACACACAATCTCGTACTTCTGAATTGGGTTCTCCGCATCTGACATGCGATTCCCCTTCTGGCTGGATGTCCAACGAGGTACAATGCACCTCCTCTGCCTTCATACAGTTTTCATGCAGTTATTTTTTGCATGCCAACCATAGACGTATTTCCAAATATTTTCGATCTGTTGCTAGCCTTAGCTGTGCAGGTTTATCTGACTTCATATCTAATACAATACCTTGGTTTTTCTTTGTTGCAGACTGAAAAGCTCTCACTTCCTGCACGCTTTTTGGAAATGAGCACCACAGAACCTGATCACACCATCGTGGACATGAAAATTCGCGCAAGCGATTCGCAAAAAGAATGTGACAGGTCACGAACAACAACGCATCATGCGAAGGGCCTAGCACAAGACAATCCATTTTCCCTAGCGAGGTCTGTGGGTTTCGAGGCATCCTCCGCAAATCCCACAAAATCACTCGTTTCTATTTGGGGTCAAGGAGCAGGGAGCTATTCAAGACCCCCTGTGACTTTTTGGGGTGGTGAACAGTGGGAAGGAGCCGGCTCAGAGGTTTTCTATACAGAACCGGCTGCCTCGGATAGAGTAGAGAATGATGATGCGGCTGTTTGGGTGACTCAAATCAATGTACCTGATTTCGATGTCACACCACGATTCTCAGATGCTGCCCCTGTCTATCAAAGCTCAGATATACGAAACCTCAAGGTCACGGATCAGACCATGACTTTTCAGCTTGGAACCCTAGACCAAATTGTGAACGGCAGCTCCAGGAGCACCAGTAGCCCCCCACCTCTGCTTCCTGACTCCCTCGACGTAGAAGCAGCATCCTCTCAATCCACACAAATTTTGCAACAGGGAAAAAGCACGTTTACAAACAAGGATTTGTCTACCCAAGCGTATCTTCCTTTAAATGCGACTTGTAGTACACTCCAAGGCAGTGACCATTTCCAGACTTCTGTAGTGCTGGAGAAGCACGTTGACAACGCATCGGGTGCAGCAGAAAGTGTCGTTAACTTCGAGCGCACAGGGATTCAGAATGCAGGTGACAATGTGTTGACGCTGCCCGAAAGGATTGGGAATTACGCTCATGAAATCATCAGATCTACGTCGACGCACCCGGACAACATCCTCACTGCCGCCTCCAATATTTGCAAGCCCATGATGGTCGTCGGGCTGAGCAACAACAGAACCATTAACATTCCAAACCATCAACTACCAGTGAACTCCTTCGAAAACACCCATGCAAGTCATGTTCCGAGGCTGCCTATCTTCTTTGGCAACCTGAGTCATGACACATTCAGTTTTCACCACCAGCAGGCGGTGAATCGTGTCACAGGATCTCCTGATCATGATATCAGCGATATCACTAGCATGCTGCTCCCGCGGGTGCTCATATCGTCTATGACGGACGACATCACCTCCGTAACCTCCGGATCCACCTCCTTCTCCAATTCTGACTCCCTCAGCCGGAGGTACTGGAATCAATCACCTCAATCCAGCCCCAAGCGAGGACCAAGCGATCTCGACCTGGTGGAGCTTGTCGCTAAACCTCTAGACCAAGCTCCATACTTGCGAAAGGTAAAGCACCATGCCAGCTCGGAATCACTGAGGGTGAGCTCCAATGTGTGCACGGTGCCCAACGTCTCAGAGAACGGGATAGACATACGTGGTATCAACTTCCATAGCCATGGCCACCACGAGGCGGAGTCTAAACTTATTCACATCTGCAGCAAAATGCGCTCCCAGTGGCAGCTTGGCTGCATTGCCTTAGCCCACAGGTAGAAAATCACTTCTCCTTGTCACTCTGCCTGCTTCTCCATGTTCTACCATTTGCATCGATCAGGTGCAAGCTCCGTGAAATGATCAATCAATATTCGTCCTGAAGTCGAATTTCATGCACATGTAAATTACAGTGTTACCAAGCGCAACTAATAACAGTGTTGTATTGGTAGTAAGAGGTTCTTATTACCATCCTCACCACTCATTCATTGAAGTGTACTTGGTTCAAACCCACTATCATTCGTCTAAGTAAAGTTTTTCATGTCTGGGTAAGTATACTAACATGTCTAATAAGTGACCATGATTTGAAGAACCTCCCTTTGCCGAAGGGACACTAGTTGTTACCTAGCGCTATCATACCAAGTGGATCTCCAACTCGGTTGTTTTTATATTTGTTTTTCATTGTTCCCAGTTTGTTTCGACTTGTGTATGCAACGGAGTGATAATATAAAGCACGAAACGGTGGCGGGTGTCTATTCTTGCACAGTGAATTTCGCATGCTGGGTTGAGTAAAGTGGACCTAATCGTGTATATTTGAGCTGAATTAAGGTGGGTCATGTTGGCATTAGAATGGGCGTAGTGGGTGCAGGAGAGGTGTATGCAGTGGTGGCGGTGACGAGCCAGGACTTCTCACAGGCCACGAACGCAGTCAATTTTGCTGTGGAATGCCTCCAGAGTGAAGTATCAGCCTTCCTGCATCAAGATGTCCTTCTCTAGCCCTGTCTCTTATCTAGACGTTTCTGTTTAGTGGTCAGTTCCTAACACACGCAGAAGATCTGCTTAAAAAGCATTAAAACAATTAGTGGCAAAATGACATTCTGAGAAGCTTTAAGTAATCCACTAATCCTCTGGTATCCCTTATCTCTGGGCCTTGTCATCTCGTCTGCCTGCAATGACTCATTGAGACCACGCAATGGGTTATACCAATTTTCGTCTTGCTATTATGATGCGCATTGTTATCAAGATCCGACGAATCTGAACAAAAACTGGCCAAGTTGAAGCTCGAGAAGCAGCAGCGTTTCTCATTATAATCGAGTCCCATTAAATGACTTGATGTAGAAGATAATTGTGGAGAACTATAATAACTCGCCACTGTGTGTACGAAGAGCATTAATCAAGACACAGAGGTCAAGACATCTAACGAAATCTGCACTGTCATGTCCCCGCACTGTACAACTTCTTACAACAGTTTACTTTTTGCCCAGCCTCCTCAACACCAAACGCCGAATGGTAGGTTTCCTGACGATGTTCCAGGGGCCTTTCTTGACTTGTGTCAATATTCAATGCTTCGAGGTCGGCGTAGGATTTGTCAAGAGATCACACCCATCTCGGAGAGAGCACAAAAAGCGAGAGCCTCTCCTCATCAACAAGGTTCCTAACGAACTGCATCGATGAGTGCAGGATCAATGATACCAGACCCGATGTTTCCATCCGAAAACGATGAAACTGTTGCAATAATTCTAGAGTTTGTGTCCACGATCATCTGCCCCTGGATACAGCAAAACTTCATCTGTAACATCTCACTTGGGACAACATGCTGCTGCCATCCAGAGCACACAGTTCCTCGTCACACTGGCAAGGTCTCACATTCACCACTCACATTCCTTTCATAATCCAATGTTAGAATAAAACAAAATATTTCAGGTTTTGCTTGTTTTGTTTTGCTCTTGTTCCCTTTGGTTTATTTTGAGGTACTTTGTCTCAATCCAATTGATATTGAAATTAACTAAAGATAACCAAGGTTGCATTATTAGGTCATTTCCCTACCACTTTTAGCTCAAAATGTTATAAAAAGAAAGAAAAATGAAAAAAGAAAAAGAAAGAGTTATGGAAGATGGAAAGTTTGAAATTGCATGAGGGTAGGATTTGTTCTTAACATGATGCATTTTATATATATATATATATATATATATATATATAGTGAGAGTACTATGCCTACTTATGTCACAATGTAAATTATTATTTACTTCTCAAAAAATTGAGATTTATGCAGCATCTATATTCTTGTTTATAGAGGCATTTGTTTTATCAAGTAAAGTTGAGCGAATATAATATATAAAAAATATTGCACATATATAGAGATGGACAAATAAATAGGTATTAGGTATGAATTTTGTATCAAAAATTTAAACATGTTCATATAAATAACTATTAATGAAAAAAATATGAGACAAAAATTCTCTAAATTAAATATGATCAGAATTTATCCTAATTGAAAAAATTATAAAAAAATTAGAATATAATTTATTAATAATTTGATATAATTTTAATTTTCATACAATATAAAATATTATTTTAAAATTTAAAATACTCATAAAAAATTACTAGATATGTAATGATATATGTAGATACAAGTTATTGCAGTACACATGTGTGTGCATATATTTTTCTATTTCTTTCTTACTAAGTTATAATTTATATCATTTAAACTTATTTTACTAAAATAATAAAAAATAATATTTATTAAGTACTTTGTGTACATTATTTATAAAGTAATTAATTACATTTAAAAATATTATACCAGTATTTTTATTTGACTATTCAATAATGAGTTATTTGAAAAAATATCAAATAATTTATCAAAATCTTGAAATGAGACAGTAGTAAAAAATATAAAATATAAAAATTATCCATCTTATATAATCTCTTTAAAAATTTAAATGCAATTTTATTATTTTTAAAATGAAATAAAAAAGAATGTAGATATTAAATTCTTTAAAAATAAAAGATTATTTATGTAATCATATATATAAAGATGTACAATTTGATGTTTTTAATGAAATAGATTTTTTTTTAATAATAATTTTTTTAAACCTTTATTTAGAAATTTAAATAAATATATTTATTATAAAATCAAAAAAAAAAAAAAACATATACACATACACATACACACACAGATTTTTAAACATAATTATTATTGAATGCTTAATTTTTAATTTTAAGTTAATTGCAGAACATATTATACATTTTTTTTAATTCCAATATTTAAGATTGCATAAAATTAACTATAAAAAATTATATGCTGTATGAAATTAATTATAGCTTTATTTTAATACATTTTAAAATAAATATATTTAGTAAAATTTTCTTATTAAAAAATTAAAATTTTAAGAAAATATGCTGTATTTTCTGTCATGTTTTATATGGCAAATATGTCAAGAATAATTATAAAATATATATGAAAATCAAAAAATAAAAGAATAAAAATGTATTGTTGAGACATTACACTTTATTATCAATAAGAGCCAAAAATCTTCCATCTTCATTTAAAGACCTTGTTCAATAAGGGGAATCCTACAAAAAGAAAGCCATAGTTGAGGAATACAACTAGTGCAAGAATGGCCCATCTCTTTTAAGTGATCCTTCAAAAAATTGAATCTAATCTAAAAAATCTTATTACACTCTAATCAACTTCAAATAAACCTTAAAAATTATTTAAAAAATCTAATTCAATCCTAAGGAAATTATAAAAAATGCTAAAGAGATCTTGAAGAAATATTTAAAAAATATTTAAAAAATAAAAATAAATTTTAATTAAACTTCAATTAAATTATAATCAAATTTTAATCAAATCCTAAATAGATCCTAAAAACTCCTATAGCAAATTTTAAATCTCAAAAATTTTAAATTTTATTGTTAATCTTGAATCAAAAATTCTTATGCCTTTTAGTTAAATAATCTAAAATATTTAAACAAAATTTAAAAGATATTAAACATATAGATCAAGAGAAAATACTTCTAATTTGCTTGAGTGTTGGCCATCTTCCTTCTTCGTCCTCAATGGTAACCTTCTAGTATCCATAGCTCTTATTTGAACTATTCAATTACTCTTAAAATTTTTTACTTTATTAAAAATTAAGTCAACTATTAGTATGTATAATTTTTTTTTAATTCAAACAACGAATTGCTCAAAACTATAGAAACCTTCATAACCTTTATAATCTAATTTCTAAGATTCTAATATAATTAATTATTAATTATATTTAATTTGATCAATTAATTAAATTTAATTTCATAAAATGCATTTATCACAACTATTTTTTATAAATTCATAAAATTTTACTTGTAGATTTACTTAAATAATTACATAATTTTCTAAAATTTAATATTTCCATTATTCTACAAAATAAAATAAAATAAAAACTCAAATCAATCCTAACTTTGTAAAGCTCTTAATGTCATTATAAACTCAAATAGCTCAAAACCAACACTCAAAAAAATAATATTATGTTTTTTTTCAAATCCTACTCTTTGATTTAGAGAAGAACCCCACATTTGATATAGGTGTATAATTATGTGCCTCAAGGTTTGATCTTAACCTTAGTTTAGAACTTGTCTTCTCTCAATATCAATCTGAGTTTTTTAAAAGAAATGTTTATAAAAAGGCACTCTTTACTTTTATCTAAAAATACCTATACTGTTATTTTTGCAAAAATAATTTATTGTGTAAAATTTATGGCCCTACAAAATAAGTAGATTTTTTTTTTTTTTTTTTTTTTTTTTTTTTTAAATCAAAGGCAACATTAACATTAAATTGTTTTTACTACCTTCCTTATTTATGAGTGTTTCTAGAATAATTTTTTAATATATTTTAAAACAATCTCTTTAATATTATAATCCTTCTATTTCTCTTTTTTCCAATAGCCATGTTATTAACATATATAAAGACATCTACAGCCAAAAGAAGATAGTGCTTCCAAAAAAATGTTGTGAAAAAATGAGATCTTGATAAATTTAATCTTTGGATAAGATGTAAGATTTTTTAATCTTATTAAAAATAAAGGATGATGTCCATCCCTCTTAAATTTTAGAAGTTTCTAAAGGTTTTAAAATTAGCTTATTTTGGAACAAAACGAGATTTTATTTTTAGAGTTTTTAGAACAAGAATAATTGCTCTATATTCAATTCATAAGAAGCTTTTGTACCCCAAAAATTGTTTTGCATGCATAATGTCTATTAAAAAGATACTTATTAGAGTAGTTTAAAATGCATCTTTTTTGTATTTTAAATAAAGAAATTGCTTTCTAGTATCACAAATTTTGACTAAGCAAAAGCAAGACTACAACCAAGATATATTAGAAGAAGAAACTAATCGCCATTTTATACCCAAGCTTGTTTAAAATTCAAAGTTGTAATGTTTGAATTATTATCAATAAATTATTGGTTGAGTGATTTGAGATTGGTGTTAGTATAAAAACATTCGAAGATGAGGTAGATGTAACTTATAGATTTCAACCCATCAACACAGGTTCAATTTGACAAGTTTTACTGCAATCTGTGAGTTAAAGAGAATTGCAATAAGATAATTTACTCAAAAACTATGTGTTGAATTAACATTTCGATTATTGGATGATCTCTAATAAATCTGACACAAGGATGGAGAGGGGTATGATTTTCTATGGAGATAATTCTAAACTTCGTACTTCTACCGCAAATTATCTAACATGGAGTCTATTTTAGAAGGGCTGATGTGGCTTGCCTCAACCAGCTGATACAGGAAGTTGCGGTGAAAGTGTTACAAAGATTTGTTAACGCAGAAGGTCAAATCCTCAAAACAAATTCACATTAACATCAACTCCAAAGCCCACAGAAAAGTTCCACAATTCCATTCGAATAGTAAAAAGGTCATGTTTTAGAGTCATTGCATAATAAAAATAAAAATAGAACAAAAATTAGTCGTGGTGGGCTGTATCCAGTAGTTATATTTTCTTATATTACCATTTGCAAGACAGTCGGTTACTGCCTACACCTCATAATGAAACATGCGTTGATGTGCAGAGCTAGTTTCAGAGGAAGTAACAGATCACGATGTAGATCCACTGGACGTCAGGATAGACATTGCGGTGATAACACAGTTCTGAAGTATAGGATTTAAAAACGTACTAGCCATACATGTCTCAACAGTAGGAATAATAGAAGTTTCTATGTTGCATTCAGAAAAGGTGAGAAAATAGAGACGACTGAAACAATAAGATGATATCATTTGGTGATGATAGGTGACAATATACATGTTAATTACATAAACTCTAGTATCCCAATGGCTTGTTGACAGGATGAACTTAAAAAATAAAAATAAATAAAAACTGTGTGTACATAGCTGCCCCAATAGCTTACAGCCTCACTAAGGTACTACGACATTCGATGGGCAAGCACTTCTGGCGATGTGAAACTTGGGTTCCTGTGGCACAGTTAGCTTCCTGGTAGATCTGCAGTGGAAAGCCAGAACGACTGTTATTAATTTACGAGCAATACTTTGAAGACATATGATTCAGCAAAATACGAAGTGGTGCAAGAGCTGTGCACTTACCGATGTGGCTTGAATGGGCGATCGAATAGAGGGGCCTTTTGTGCTGGAGGGATCACAGCTTTAGCAACCGTACCTTCAACCTCCTTGTCACCCTGCGTAGACGAATATAAATACAGCATGCTTAAAATGACATTATCGACATAATCGAATATGGATCGATAAACCGAGATAAAGCTCCCATGTAGCTCTTCATGGAGAGACTAGGAAGGAACAGAGAAATTTTCACCGTAATCTTAGCACATACCCGTTTAGCAGAAAACCCATGAGAACTGCCAGGTTTCAACAATCTCCCTGGGATCTGTAGTCAGGTTCACCAAGTCCATTCACAAGAATGTAGAACGTTAAAACACAGAAAACCAGGATTCGAGACGAACACACGGTGATGTACATGCAAATCGTAGAGAATTTGAACATTGCTCATTACAGCACACAACGCACACAACCATCCTCCCGAGCAGCGAACGCAGTGAGTGCAGACTCCCAAAATAATCTTAGTCATGGCCCTTGGGATTATCGTCACTACATCCACAAAAATTTACCTTCGGCTCTGCTACCGCAAGACCTTGAAAGGCGGAGTGAAATCCTTCCTTGGCTGCTCTGTGTTTCTCCACTTTCTTCGAGAATTCCTGCTCCTTAGCCGCCCCCCTCTCCTGCACACGGTAAATAGTCGAAAAGTTTAAAAGATCAGCAGCATTGTGATGAGTGCGAAGTGTCCTTACTGACTCCACATGATCAGCACAGTGCATGAGATCTATCGACAAAGGCAGGCTGAAATAAGGTTCACCTGCGTGCGCAGCCGAAATGGTTGCGGATTGGTTACTCGTGGATTGGTGACTCTCCAGGCAAGTGAAAGTCGTTTCATTCTAGGCCTAGGAAGGTGAGGTGATTTAGAAACAGCGGAAGTCTTGGCATGGCAAATCTGCAGTGATGGCTGCTGTCAGTCGAGGATGGAGGGTAGATAAGTTAAAACGATCGAGCTAAACCTCTGATGAAATAATGAACACATGAATATGCTCAAGTAACTGGAGGTGTATTCAATAGGTGAGAAATGACCTTTTTGGACATTGATTTACAGGTATCGCTCTTGGCAAAATTGGCTCTCTTGCTGGCTGCTTCCAGCAACAACTCTCTACTGTTCCTGCAAGAGCCAATGCGAGAAAAGAATCCAACCCATCACCATTCCGTTGGGGACATTGGCAATGGTCAAGGGAATTTGAAAAAAACGAAAATTAGGGAAGCTTACCCCTTCCTTCCGTGCTTGCTCTGTGCCAGTTCCAAGTCACTTAAATTTCTCGTCTCCAAGTAATCCATATTTTCGCAGGCCACCTCGCAGTCCATTCCTGCTGCATTCGGTTGTTCATCTAGTCCATTTATAGAACTATTCGCCAAGCCCATTCCGGAGATCCCGGCAGCCTTGTCACTGGTCGACGAGCCTCCCACCCTTTCTACAGCAACACCAGAAGAAAGAGACTGCTTAGGTTCGACAATCCTGGATTCCCCCGCCAATGAGACAATCTTGAAATCCTCGTCTTCAGGCTGGGTCACCTCAGGGATTGCACATGCATTGAGGGACTCATGAATTATCTGTTCCTCCAGCAAAGTTGTTTGAGCACGGTCCAAAGTCATCCTCAGGAAGCTATCGTCCAAGGAAGCTTGGAAATGGTCATTGACATTGGAATAATGTTTGTTTTCTCCAACAACGGAAGTGTCTGTGACAGCTTGGTGCGCGTCATGGAGATCAGCATGATTACAACCCTCATCACCCTTCTGAGCTTTATCACACTGCAGCCTGGATTTCCCTAGTGTTATTTCTTCATTACATGTCCCCACTCCGGCAAGAGAAGGCGCGGCGTTTATAGCCGATCCCGGAATGCCATTACTGGCATTGAGATACTTCCTAGCAGGCGCTGCAGACAAGGAACTAGGGTCAATGGCAGCGCATATCGAGGATTTGGAGTGGTGGCCAGTGTTGGGTAACCCAGTTTTTTCGGTGCAGGCCATGACCTGGTGCCCTGAGATAGGTTCCGTCACGATGATTTTATACGCAGACGCTGTGGAGCCATCATCCTCGCCTGTCGGTGAACAAGCTACGATGACAGCGTTTAATTTCAGGACATTCACAGCTACTCCAGAGGCAATATTTGTTCCAAATGGTTTAAGTGCATTTGGTTTCATTAAGACTTTCTTATCAGCCGAGGAGTCATCGTAATTGTTCTTTGTCATGCAGGGATCTCCCGAGAACTTCGGAATGTGATGTACATCACTAGCGCCAGCAGTTCGCCTCGGCTCGAGGAACTTCTGGCTGCACTGACGGGCAAGCGCTGGCCTCTCTTCAGGACCTTGACGGGTAGATTTCTCAACAATTGAAGTAGAAGCATCAGCGATTTGAATGGGGTTCGCAGAAGGATTAGGATCTTCATTCTCAGATGCTCGCGATGTCTTGACAAGACGTATGGATCTCAGTGATGCATTGCCATCCTTACCCTGAAACTGGGGAGTGCTGTCATACGCATTATTCTTTACATTCAAGCTCTTGCTTGTTAATGGGCTCATTGAGTCTGACACGGTCCCAATGAGTCCTTTCTTGGCACTGCAGTGATGAGGTACCAAGTCAAACCAATGTCTCACCACAACCCTATTCTAGATCCAGGCGTTCACAAAGTACAAGACAGGAGACAGAACTCAAATCAGGGAACAGGGTACAAATTAGAGACTAGTCACGTAGACAGGAATACGCAAACAATTGATCCAGCATATCAAAACCCAAATTTGATGAGAAATCAGGAGAGCGAATGGTAGAGAAAGGCAAATTTATTGCACCGAGATTTTTACAAGGCTTCACATTAACCCACATTGTATTATCATCTATGTGAAGTGCAAACTGAAGTTCTGAACATCTGGAGGACAACTTTAGTGACATTCCTGGCGATGTCATATAAACATACTTTTCGATAGTATACAATGCCTAGCATACGACCTAATCTATCGTTCAGTGAGACAGGTATACCCGCGAGCACAAGGAGGGGAAGTATACAAGTTAATAACCCTCTCTGAGCCCGCGAGACCAGCAAGATGAGAAAGGAAATTGACTAGCCAGGACTTTAAGATTAGACACGATGAAGGGCAGCAAGAAGGTAGAACTTTCATAGGACCTGCCAACAGCTTTTTCCGCAGGAAGTGGAGACTTGATTGGTGCTTGCTGTTGTATTACGGGAGCTGCTTTCGAGGTACCCTGCGCTGCAACCTAGAATTACCAGCTACAACGAAAGATCAGATTCTTGCATAGTCAGATCCCTCTGGGCAGCTTTCAGATCGTCCAGAAGCACACACCTACACACCGGAAGATGACCTTCAATGGGTCACGGTTAGCTGTGGGAATGGATAAGGGCGATGTACTTACCGTGTGTTCCTTCCGTGTCAGCAGGTTCACCTCTTCAACGAGCACTGCTTTCTTGAGCTGTATGCCTGGGAAACCACATCGACTAGCAGATGTCGGCTCAATTACACACAAGATATGAATCATATGGTTTGAGACAAGGCAAACGTCGACTGCGACGACATGTTGTAGCATGACTGAGGGAGTTGGGATTATGTCTATGATTCCAGGATTTACAGCACTACGAACAGGAGGAATGATGGTTGGGAGCCGCTCGGTCTGGAATTATCTGTCCTTAAAAGAACTCGACGGTTGAACATAAAGTTGAACTTTGAGGAGAACACAGAAGTTACGCTCTACACCCAACCTTTCCTAATGCATCCCCAAGTGAAGAAACAGCCTGTGTAAGCTCATAAGTAACGAGGAGGTGAAGCCACGGGCATACCAGGATTGGCCAAGAAGTACGCATCCGGGTCAATAGGCTCCTCAGGTGCAGTAAAATCGTGAAACTTCGGTGCTAGAAAGCTCTCGTAGAAGTCGTCGGTCTGAAAATTTCCATCGCAGTTACCCCCAAACGCAGAGTCTATCGACCCCATTCTCCCCACCACCTTCCGTGGACCCAGCTCCACCAACTACCTTATCAAATTCCGGTGATAACTCGCACCGTCTCCCCCTCTCGAAACCCAAAACAAACAGACATTCCACACTCACAACACGCACGTTCTCGACGTCGTTGCATAAAGCCTCACCATTCCCACAAACATTCCGCAACGACCACGACACATGAGCTCCAAACGCAAAAGTACACTATCACCTCCAAGAAGGGCGCGATTCTGTGACCTAGACCTGGAGATGCAAGCAAACGCGGCAAATGTGGGTGGAAGAAACAGAATCGGAATTCTGGAAGTGAACTAGGGCGTGCGCCAATGAGGATATACGAGCCCCGAATTCTTCAAAAATTGAAGCTCAAACGGCTACTTTCGGCGGCGTCACGACAGTTGTCGTAGAGGGCGAGTAATGTCAGCGGCGGTTGTTGTAATGCCCAGTCCTGAATCGCGGGTTGGTGGGGGAGGGGGACCCGCTGAGGATCCAACGTGGAATATCGTGCCACGGTGGCAACTTCGAAATGTTTCAGACTGTTATTCCGAATGGGATCTCCCATTTTGTGAAATGAATAAGCAAATTAAGCATTCAATTTTTTGTTAAAATCACATTAGATGATTTATTTTTATTTATTTATATATATAAATATATATATATATACACTTACACACACACACACAGGGGAATGATAAAGTGATCCAAATTTTTACTAAAGTGACCCACCTTTACTATCATTCCATCCTTGCAGTGCCCCTCCCTATTTCCAGCATGGAGGACGAAGGTCGGAGGGCAGTTCCTATGTTCCTTGAATCATGTTGCACCAAAAAGTCTATTACTTATCCAGTCAATAGTAGCCCCCCCCCCCCCCCTATTGGCTCAACTTGTATTGTGCACTATCCATTGATAAGCCTACATTGGTATTTCTCACAAAGGGGGGCGCTCTCATTTCTTGTAGAAAAGAAGAAGGTTTTGCTCCTAAGTAGCCCTTATTTAGTATGAGCTCTGCCAAATGTCAAGCGACCTACTCTATTAAACTAGGAAATCAATGACATTAATTTCCAATGAAGGCTCTTACATTTTTTTTTTTTTTTCTACTGTGGCAACTTCATTTTAATTTTTATATTAGAGACTTCAATGGCTATGTTGTCATTTGAATTTTTTGTAGATTACTTTGATCTTCCATACTCTTGTTGTTATAAAGTCAAGAATTAGAGAAGCGATTTTCACCTAATTCCTTCAAAGAAAAGTTGTACATTTTATTTCCAATTATGTAAGTAAAATGCTAGGCACTTACATTTGGATTTGTGCTCATATTAAAGAGGTATGATTTGTTGAATTGAACATATTAAAGTTGCTAGATTGGTGCTCCATCGGATAGAACCTATTAGGATATAAACATTAACTTCCTAACTAATTAGAACAAATAGAGTGATAGGTACTTAATCCTAGATATCAATCCAAATATAAATAAGATATCTATCAAATATAGGTAACTCTTATTGTATAAAAATAATTCTTTGTAAATGGAACTAGAGTTCACTTATTTTATCACTTGTATTGGTGTCCTAGCATTTGAGGTTAATCTTTGTGTTTGGTAATTTTTTACTCTTGTTGTGAATTATAGAACATTGTCGGTCATTGGTACTATATGCTCATTTTTTTTGTTTCATAATCTTAATTCATCAAGCAAGAATCAATATGATATCAGAGCAAATAATGTGAGAGAGAGAATTCAAACTACAAGAGTGAACTATGGAAGTAATGGACTTGATTATTGCAACTTCTAAGATGCTTGCAGGGCCCAATAACTATAAGATATGGAGTAGCACAATTTGGAGCATGATAGAAAATGAAGACCTATTGGACGTGATGGTTCCAAGTAAAATCATACAAAAGGAGGCTTCACCATCAATTAACAACACCTTATTAAGCTCAGTCTTGATGGAGAGAAAAGAAATGGGAAGTATTGATCAAGTAGATGACTGTGTCTGAGAAACTAATTTAACAAAGCAAAAACATAAAATCCTCTATAGACAAAGCATAGAAGCCATGAGATTCTTCCAGCTATCATTATCAAAAATAGTAAAATCCTATATCCTTGATACTTCTAACCCTATTATAGCTTGGAAAATCTTAGAAAATATATATTCAACAAAAAGAATAGTAGATATGATGAGAATACTAGGCAAGTGGGAAAATATCAAGATAATAAAGAATATGATAGTATCCGTCTTCGTCCAATATATATACAACTTATTGAATTACTTAAAAGAAATTAATGAATTGCCAAAGGAGATTGTAATTGTACATAAGATTTTTAAGAATCTACTTAAAAAATATGAAATATTTGTAAGGATACTTTAATAAAAAAAGTAACGCCAATTCTATCAAATCTGAAAAATATACTTCATATGAAAGAACTTGAGATAGAATTAAGATTAAGGCATAATGAAAAAACATTTATGATGAATACAAAGAATATTCCATGAAGAACTTTCATTGGATTCAAAAATCTAAACTAATTAAGGAATAATTTTCAAAGAATACCTTCTCAAACTTGGACCATTGTTGGAGAATAACATACAACAATCATATATTACTAATGTGGCAAATCAAGGCATATAGCAAGGTATTATTGAGCTTCTGAACCAATCAATGAGTATCAACAACCACACAAAGCAAATCAAATATCTGTTGATAAATTTCCTTCACATAGTCAAATTCATATACACATTAAACAACAAATGAGAAATAAATTACAACTAAGATCTATTATTGGTATATTTATTAGCTATGATAAATATACTAAAGGATATAAAATATATTTTCATCATTTCAAGAAGATCATAATCTCAAGAAATGTGATATTTGAAGAAAATAAATTTATAGACTATAAAAAAACTCAAGATGAAAATCTTACAAACAAAAGTATAGAAATAGAGATATCAATAGAAGAAGTTCAATATCATAATGAATTATCAAAATTACAAGTATAAGATTTTTCAACCAATAAAAATTCTATCTTAGAAGATTTTTATAATATATCCAATTTACAAGAAAATATAGAAATTGATGATCAAATAGAATCTGAAAATGAAATAGAAAATCTTTCTAAAAATACACCTCTATCTAAATTTCAATAACATAATATAAGCCAAAATATATCTAATTTTAGCTATACTCTAAGTATTAAAATTGATGAATGGCCTAATATTAAAACCAACAATGATATATCCTTTATCAAAACTATAGATCCTTAAAAATTGAAGAAAACATGACTTGGCTTTCACCAATTATTACACAAGTAGGTAGATAAACTAGACCTTTTGGATGGATGAAAGATCATTTTGCAAGATTGATGATACTATCAAATATAAAATTAATAACATATTATAAAGTAGCACAACATGAGGGATGGATATAAGCTATACAAGATGAAATGAAATCTATATACAAAAATGAGACTTGGTCTCTTACAAATCTTTCATTAGACAAATTTAGTATTTCCACGAAGTAGATTTTTAAGGCTAAATTCAATAGAGATGGATCTTTATAAAAAAATAAAACAAGGCTTGTGGCATAAGGATTTGAACAAAAGGAAGGAATTGATTATGAGGAAATATATGCATTAGTAGTTAAATAAACAATCATTTGGGTGATAATATTGATTGTAGCTCAAAAGAATTGGAAATTATACCACATAGACATAAAAACAACATTTCTTTATGGATAAAAAAAAGAAGAGATTTATGTCTCACAACCATAAGGTTTTGAAATATTTGGCAAAGAAAATATAGTATGTATGCTACAAAAGACATTATATAATTTAAATCATGTACTAGAGTATGGTATGAATAAATAAACTTTTACTTAATAAAAATGGACTTTCAACAAGGTATAAATGATCATAATCAATACTCAAAATCATCAAAAAATAAGATTATTCTTATTGCACCATATGTGGATGATCTTTTAATGAAAAGAAATTATATCCATAATATGAACAACTTCAAACAAAAATTCTATGAATAGTTTAAAATATATGAACCATCTAGAGCAGAAGTCATGCTCTATCTAAAAGTAGAATGCATAATGTGAAATAAGGAATTTTAATAACTCAAAAGGTCTATCCACAAAATATTCTAAAAGAATTTAGTACAAAAAAAAAATTTATCAACAATAACACTCATGTATGAAAAAATCAAATTTAAAGACGATATAGATGAAGAAGAAATTGACTCTATATAATATAGAAGTATAGTAGGAAAATACCTACACTTAACTCACATATATCTAGATATACAATATGCAATAGGAATAGTAAGTCGTTTCATAGAAAGACCTCAAAAATCACACATATTAGTAGCAAAAAGAATTTTAAGATATATTAAGAATACTCAATATTATAGAATATTATATCAAAAAAATAATCAAATTCATCTTGTTAGATTTACAAACTCTGATTGGATATGAGACTTGAAACAAGCTCGATTAATGATAAGTTTTGTATTTAATATAGGAAAAACGTCCATATCTTAGCCATCAAAGAAGCAACCAATAATGGCTTTGTCCTCATCTGAAGCAAAATATTGGGCATTGGTAGATGATTTTAGAGAAGCAATATGACTAACTATGCTTCTTAAAGATTTGCAAATAGAAATCAAAGAATCCACCATTATCTATTGTGAAAATGCAAGTAGTATCAATATTGTGATGAATCCAAGAGTTAATCCTAAGACTAGAGATATAGCAATGTATTATCATTTTATTAGGAAAAAAAAATCAAATCTAGAGAAATTAGTCTTCAATATATATCAATCTTGGAATAAGTAGCAGTTATATTTACAAAACTATTGAGACATATCTTATTTGAAAAATTCAAGGAAAGACTAAACATGATCAATGTATTTAGTTTTATCAAGTTATTTAAAAAAGAATTAAAAAAAATCCTTAAATTGAGTATTTTTAAATTTTTTAACTTGGATCTCTGATATTGCTTAAGAATTATTTATTTCAAGATGAAATAAAATTTTTAATCATTGAAATCTTCTAATAAATTATATCTTGTACCAACCCTATTTTTGAAATTTTGAATCTCTTCAAATCTACACCAACTATCTCTTCTCAAGAAAGAAATTCTTGTAGTTTATTATAATTGAAAATATAGTTTAGAACCTCTAAAGAAAAGGAGGGTGTTGAATTGAATATATTAAAGTTACTAGATTGATGTCCCATTAGATAGAACCTATCAAGATATAAACATCAACTTTGTAACTACTTAAAACAAATAAACTGATAGGTACTTAGTCTTAGATATTAATTCAAACATAAATAGGATATCCGTTGATCAAGGATAATTCTTATTGTATAAAAATAATTCTTTGTA